GACAAGAATTTTGGATTAGGGAAACTCTATTTTTGGACCTGGGCGGTGATCGCACAGGTGTGTGCACTTTGTGATATCTCATCTATCAAACTATATCTTGATTTTGTGCATTTTTCTTTATGTATACCATATTTCAATAAGATGTGCCTATTGTACCAAAAGAACAAGGGCTGGGGCTGTAGCTCAGTGGCAGAGCTCTTGCCTAGCATGCGTGAGGTACTGGGTTTGATCCTTAGCACCACAAATAAAATAAAAGCATTCTGTCCACCTACAACTATAAAATAAGAATTAAAAAAAGGAAAAAAAAGAATTATCTGGGTTAGGAGAGGATTTTTTTTGTGTGTGTGTGTGAGTTACTGGGGATTGAACTAGGGGCCTTGTGTATAAGAGGCAAGCACTCTACCAACTAAGCTATACCTTTAACCCAGGAGAATAATTCTGATAAATGAAAAGTCATTTTAGTGTAGCAGAATTATGCTTTAAAAATTAAAATATCTTGTTTTAATTTAATTTGGTTGTTACAATAAAAATACAGGTGGAAGAAAATTAATTTAGCATTTGCTCAAATATGCATATAAACTAGAGATGTAGGCCCATGAGTTCTGTGGGCCCGCCAGAGTTCTGCCAGGAATTGTAATAAATTCAGTAGGAAAAAATTTAAACCTGTTGTTATAATCTTCCTCCACAGCTCCCAAAAGAATATCACTAAAAGAGCTATGAATTTCTAATTTTGAAACAACATAACTTCCAGGCATATTCTTTTTTTTTTTAAAGCAATAACAAGAGATCCTATCTTTTTTTTTTTTTTAATGTTTATTTTAAGTTTTCGGCGGACACAACATCTTTATTTGTATGTGGTGCTGAGGATTGAACCCGGGCCGCACGCATGCCAGGCGAGCGCGCTACCGCTGAGCCACATCCCCAGCCCAACTTCCAGGCATATTCTTAAAAAAAAAAAAAAAACAACAAAAAACAAACCTGTTGCAATATGTGACACTAAGGCAGGAGGATCACAAATCAGGGGTCAGCCTCAGCAATTTAACAAGGCCCTAGGTAACTTGTGAGATCCTGTCTCAAAATAAAAAATAAAAAAGGACTAGGGATGTGAACTCCTGAGCTCAATCCCTAGTACCTCCTTTCCCCAAAAGAATTCTTTTCTTTTTAACAGCAACTAACCATTAGGGTCAAGAATTTATTAAAGATATCCTGAGTCCCCACGATATAATCATATTTTCTGCATATAAAAAATAATCTCTTTTTTTCTATAGTTGAGATGTAGTTCACATTTAGTTGATAAAATGAAAAAAATGCCCGAGAACTAAAGTTCTCTCTTTTCTTGATGGGAAGATTTTGGATGGGGGTGGGTTTTGCTACTTGTTTTTGGAAATACCTCTTTTTTATTGTATTTGTATATTGGAATAAACGAAGTTGTGTTTTAAATCTTATGAATTAGGTGTCCTTTTTTCCCCCTCCCTTTTAAAACTAATATCACAATGTAAAATGGCCCGCACTTGGGCTGAGTGGGAAGCAAGACCTTTACCTCATGCAAGAGGAATCTTGTCTTTACCTGAGCATGGCCACAGAAGATATCTTATCTTGTTATGTTTGGACTTGTACCAAGGACTCAGTAGGATCTATAAACCCAACTCAAAGTAGCATGCGTAGTTACTGTAACTTTGAAGAGGGGAATTATAATTCTTTTCAGTATTATACTAATTTTCACCAATTTAAAATTCCCATTTGATGGCCTAAAAACCTTGGAAGTATATGATAGCTCTTCTTTMCCCTTTCCCCTATCACGAGTGACCTTTACACAACTGAAGGAAACAGTTATGGACAGGCAGCCAGAAAGGGCAGGCTCTTGTCCGGCTTTACTTCCCACTAGTCTACAGAGGCTAATTTCTTGGAACCTTAGTTTCTGAAAGTCAATGTAGGCAATAACATCCCCTGCTTCAGTGTGATTTTGAAAAGTGAAAAATAATATGTAAACATAGGCAAACATTTTATATTTTTAATAATAACTACATGTTGCATTTCTAAATATGAAAGATGAAACATATAATATCCTAGTACTTGGGCTTGGGAAGAATATAGGGAAATGAGGTCAGAAAGACTAAAAAACAGAAAAATAAACAAATTGGTAACCACAAAAGATTAAAAAGGGACAACGTTGTAATCTTGAAAGGTCTATACAAACTTTTAAACAATTTTTCTAATTATATCATGCATTCTGAATCCTGATGTAGTAGACATCTGTTGTTTTTTCTGCCTTGTAACCTGCTCCTTCCTGGCAACAGCGGCTTTTTCTTTGAACTGCTTTCCCCAGTATTCTGGTGGACTGACAATCTCATACCTCTAATGCGGGATATGCTCAGGGATCTGCAGGTAACCAAAGCCAGACCAATAAGCATTCTTCCTTGAAATAATCCATATAGATCCTGATCCTCTTTTCTTTGGAGTTCTAAATGGCTTTTTTTTTTTTTTTTTTTTTTTTTAAAGCTGGGGCTCTCAATGGGAAAGGCAGCAAAATAAATTAGGCAAAACTTTCCCATGTTCATGAATGAATACACTACCAGTATAACTCCATATCATGTACAAGCACAAGAATGGGAAGTTTTACTCCATGTATGTATATGTCAAAACACATTCTACTGTCATGTATAACTAAAAAGAACAAATTTTTAAAAATTAAAAAAAATTTTGATTCCAAAACAAAACAAAACTGGGGCTCTCCTGTTTGTAAACAACCAGATAACCTCATCCTGTCTGTCTGTGGCAYGGAGGCATTGATGATTGGCCACTAAGACCATCTTTTGAGAGATCTGAACCCAATTTTCCCCACACCTTCATATTTYTCTTCTGAACACCACATCTATATAGTAGATAAAAGTTTTCAAGCAGTTAAGAAGATGTGTTTAAAAGGCTCTGGGATTTTCTAAAAATCAGGGTAACTACAGTAAACAAACAAACAAACAACAAAACCCTCACACTTCGTCATTGCTTTTTTTTYCCCCCAAATACCAGGTGTGTTTAGTTAACTATGGTATCCCCAGGTTCCAACAAATATTTTATTTGTTGATAGCATCAAATACCTGGTGTAAAGATTTTCTGAAYTGTCTTTACAATTCTATTAACAAAATCTTTGGTTTGTTTGAATCCAGGGCCAGGCAATGGAATAGAATTTTTATCATCCAGCATACTGGTTGGTTACACTTTACCTTTTTTCAAATAGGTACTTCCTTGTTGCTGTAACACATTCCCATGAACAATAAAATTTAGAGTCACTCAAGGTCTCTTTATGTGCTTTGCAAATATCAGATGAGGTTCTGGTAAAAAAAAAAAATTATGGAGCATGCAGGCATAAATAATGGCTTGAAATTAACTTTGAGAGCAGTGACAAGGAAACACATTTAGGTTGATTTTGCAGCCTTTAGGGTCTTCTTTCATCTGTTTTGATTATTATTAGAAAACCAGATGAGATCCATCCATTGTCTATCAATATCTAATAAAGTACTGAAAATTTATAATAAGGCAAATGCATTAATATATTTATTAAMGTACTTCTTAAAATCCGTAGCTTTATTGACAACTTACATCCTTATCTGTGACCTATATTGCCCTTGTTAGTTCTCAAATTTAGAACGTTGAGAGAATATCATCCTCTCTAGGTAGAAACGAATATATTTATTTTGCTTCAACTCAAATATGAAAGATTAAAACATTATTTTTAGCCCCCCTTTTTCTTCYAAAGAGAAGGTGCCAGGAGTGAGGAGTTAGAGACATTTAACCATGCAAAACTCCATTTGTCTCATCAAAAAAAGGAACATTGTGCGTTGGATGTAAACTGGCTCTCATCCCCATCCCCATAGATCATTATCCTTAGGACCCTCCTAATTAGGAACGGTGTGGGGCTAGCACTGACCCTAATCATAATCACCTAACCACCTAACATTTTATTGTTTCAGAAATCCTGTGTCCCTATTTTAAGGGGATAGCTGAGTCTAAAATTGTGTATTACTGTCATTTTGTCATTAAGGACCTGGAAAGTTTTATTTGGTGCATCCACTTGGGGTTTAAAATCCGCTGTCTTCGGCTGGTCCAACCAAGGTACCCGCCCTGTCCGTTCTTTGCCTGCCCTATCAGCACTGGGGTAAGTGCCTGGGTTCCGATCTGGGACTAAAACTCATGATCTTCTGGCTCAGGTTCTGCGAACTGAGTCATTCTGGCACTGAGAATATTCCGTGACTCAGCAGGCCCGAAAAGGAGGATGTCAGAATCCAGACAATTTCAAGTCTTTTAAAGGCAAGCTGGGGAACACAAACAACACAGTGGAAGAATTTCGCAGTAGGTCTGCGCACCCAGGGGAAAAATGTCATTCCATTCCCAGCCTTTTCGCTTCCTTCCTCGTTCGGGTTAAACGACTGGTTATACTTTAATTTAGCGGCAGGAAATCGCTTCACAAAACTCATTTTGATGCTGCGACCAGGCCCTTTACTCTCCAGGGACCGTGTCAGGCCCCTCGACACCCGGGACCTCTCTCTCCTCGTAGGGGGTTAGAGCCGGGTCCCGCGCAGCAGGGGACACTCCCCGGGACCGCACCCGAGAGCTGGGGCACGCAGACAGCCCCACTGCGGCGTCCCTCCGGACATGGCCTCGGGGCGGTGGACTCGAGGACTGACACCTGGCAGGGCRGGGAATCGCCAGCCGCTCGCGGCCCACGTTGCCTTAAGGCCGGTAGGCCCACCCCGAGCGACCTCACGGACCCGCGTCACCCCTTTAAGGGCTCCTCCTAGGCGCTCCCTACCCAACCGAGCGTCCCCCCAGGACGCCGAGCCGCGGACCCCGCGCCCTACCGGTGCCGGCTGCCGGGTCTTCACGGCCTCCCCTGCCTCCCGGCATGCACCGCCCCGCCGCCCCTCCCTCCTCTTCCTCCCTCCTCCTCCCCGCTCCCCGCTCCCCGCCCACCCTCGCGCCCCTCCCGCCGACCGCGCGCTGCGGGCCTGAGCGCGAGACGCCACCGCCCCCGCCGCCGCCGCTAGTCGCCTGGGCGGACGCGCAGTCCCTGGCGCGCTGAGGGCGGGGGAGCAGCTGCGGGGGCCGCGGTGCTGAGAGGAGGCCGGGGTTGGGCTTTCTCCTCAGCCAGACCCCACCCCACCCGGCCGATCCCACCCCCTGCTCCTTCCTTCCCGGAGCGCGCGCTCGGGTGCGCGCTCGGAAGTCGGGGGTCGGCTCAGAGTGCGAGCTGCTCCCAGGGTGGGTGAGGGAGGCGCAGAGGCGGTGCGCGGGGGCAGTGGCCAGGGAGCCGCACAGTCCTCGCTAGGGGCGCCCACCCGCCAGTCTCTCCCGTGCGAGCCTCCGCCCGCGCGAGAGTCCGGCTCCGGGGCCCCCAGGCTCAGCCCGCGGAGCGGCCTCCCGGGGACGCCGTTGGGCGAGGGGAACGCGCCGGCCCTGGCCTTTGCAGTGGCCCAGCGCGCGGGCGGTGGGATGAGGGGCAGCGAGCGGGCCGCGCTGGCCTGGCGGCGCCGGGGGCGGCTCTGGACGGTGTTGGCTGTGCTGGCGGCAGCCGCGGCGGGCTGTGCCGGGGCAGCCATGGACGAGTGCACGGAMGAGGGCGGGCGGCCGCAGCGCTGCATGCCTGAGTTCGTCAACGCCGCCTTCAACGTGACCGTGGTGGCCACCAACACGTGTGGGACTCCGCCCGAGGAGTACTGTGTGCAGACCGGGGTGACCGGGGTCACCAAGTCCTGTCACCTGTGCGACGCCGGGCAGCCCCACCTGCAGCACGGGGCAGCCTTCCTGACCGACTACAACAACCAGGCCGACACCACCTGGTGGCAAAGCCAGACCATGCTGGCCGGGGTCCAGTACCCCAACTCCATCAACCTCACGCTGCACCTGGGTAAGCGGTGACAGCCCTGTCCCTTACTACTGCTCGCTAACAACTCTGCACCCGGGCCGTCTCCACTCCCTGGTCCAGCTTGAGGGGCCCAAACGCCGCGTGCTGGCTCTCTGCTCCCCAGCGGGGACCACACAAATTCCTTTCTCCCACTTCTATAATTGATCTATCCCTTAACATCCGGTGAGGGCCGAGATGCTCTCAGCTGCGTCTCTTTGCTTTCCTATGATTTCTAACTTAAAGGGATTCTTGCTTCTTCAAGGAATTCTTTGCCATTTCAGCAGTTAGGATTGTGATCCCTTTTTTTCTGAAGCTTTAATCAAAAACACCCATTCTCCTTTTAGCTGTACTAGCGGGGCCATCTCTGAAGGCATGGTTGAATGCTTGGATCAGAGAAAGGAAGATCCACCTTTTGCCTTTAAAAAGTTTAAATGTGGCTTTTTCCCCAGAATTGAAGATGACTGCTGTTTGTTAAGGGAATTAGAGAGGAGCAAATACCTTTACTGCCTATATTGCCTAGGTGTAATTAAAATAGAAATTCACTTTTAAAAGTTATTGTTCAGCCTTAATTAAGAGCCACGAAGCTATTTCACTGCTAATCCTGGTAGAGAGRAAACAAAAGTAAGTGACCTACTCACTAATTGCTGGGAACAGTTTTGTCCCCTTGTATAAAGGTTCTCCACATTGTCTTCCTCTTGCTTTGAGTCAGAGCAAGTGCCGAAACACACCTAAGTGACCTTTTTAGACATTGGGAAAGGGATGTTTAGAAAATTGCATGGCAGGGCTGTGGATGAGAAAGGACATTCATTTGAAAGTATCAGAAATTCTGTTTGATTTTGGTAATTTTTTCCTTCATTATGGAGATATAGAAACAAGCAGAAAAAAATTTCATTGTGTTTAACAGAGTAACATGTATGTGAAACTGACATTTGATTTATAGTGCTTCAATTTTTCATTGCATTTCGAGACTTGATTTTACCAGTAGCTGGTACTAATGAAGTTCCTGAGAACAGACTGCCCCAAGCCATTCTTCTGTCAAAGCAGGGTAATTCTATAGGACTCATAACATCATTGGGAGATGTTTGAAAGGGACATTTTGTAGGCAAATAGTTCTTTTGATCATGGTTTTGTATTTTCCTTTGTACTGATCTCTAGCACACTAAACTTTGCATAAGTTACCAAGATTCCAGAGAAGGAATACTTACAGGGAAAGTGCTTGAGAAGTGTAATTAAATTACTATGAGTGGAATAAGTTTTAGAAAAGCAGTATTTAACACCTTTATAGTAATTAAGGTTTTGTTTGTAGATGAGTCATTGGGAAGATGAAACTTTTTGGAATTAAGTTCATGAATGAATCCATGTGGCACCTGCTTTTCAACTTGTTGAAGAAATAAACTGCTTTGAGTTCATTTTTTAAAAGGTATTGGAAATTTATAGAAGCAGTGGTGTCTTGGAAAAGTACCTATCTAAAGGCATTGCAAGAGACTCAGGGTTTCCCAAGATCTTGAAGGGATGCTGTCTTAACTGTCTCTCCCAAGTGTTATGTTTTTAAAGTTGGCCAACATTAGTTTTGTAATTTATATCCAATTACTTTTTAAAAAATATCTATTTTTTTACTTGTAGTTGAACACAATACCTTTATTTTATTTATTTTTATGTGGTGCTGAGGATCAAACCCAGGACCTCTGCTGAGGATCAAACCCAGGACCTCGCATATGCTAGGTGAATGCTCTACCGCTGAGCCACAACCCAAGCCCTATATCCAATTACTTTTGTTTGAATTTTGGCTTGTTAAAGTTCCTGTGTTCACCTTTGAATACTCTTGAATTCTTACATTATCCATTTTCAAATTTAAAAAATTTCAAAGAAAAGGCATTTACCTTGATGTTTCTGAATGCCTGAGATTCAGTTGTTCAGTCCTGAACAATAGGTTGTCAATCTGTTGTAGGCTTCAGCTTAACATTTATTTCAGGTGATTGCAGAGGTAGATGGAGTACTCAATGCTCACTTCTTTGTTGCAGAGACAATGTGGTAGAGTAAGAGAGTATCATTCAAGTTAATTTGCTAATGCTGGGGGGCAGATAGATACTAACTTTGGATCATGATGATAACCAGTTCAAAAGAGATCTTCAGAGTACATTTAGTTAGGACTCTTTTTTTTTTTTTAACTCTAAAAATGTTTTGTGCTTTGACTTGTTTTTGCTGTAATATTCTTAAGTTGTTGGTAATATCTTTGCTAAGTGGCATTCATAAAACTATAGATTTAAAATCTTAAGTTATTTGAAATATTTGATATAATTTTTTATCATTTGTACTTTAAGCTTTTTAATTGGTTTATATAAAAGTTGACTGGAACTTACTGTGCTTGTTCTTGGATCAGAAGCGATGTCCTAGAGGAAATTGTGTGTGATGGAGGAGGTGGAAGGGGGGGGGAGATTTGTACGTAGTGGGGTTGATGTTCATTTCTCTCCCCACTTTCTTTTTGATGACAAGGACATATGTATGCATGAATGTTATGATCAACAATTTGTGGTAAGTGGGCAAGGCTTTATTTATCAGTGTGTGTTTTGGTATTCAGCATATTCACTACCTAACTTCAGTTACTCCTTGGGCTCTAGCTAACTAATTATTTCCCATGAATTCAAGTACCATGACTGTTTTGTGCATCTATTAAATCTCCCACCCAGTTCAAATTTCACATACCCTTCAACAAGTGATGCATATTGTGCTCTGCCCTTACAGAGCATGTGAAACTCCAAGTGAGCAGTGTAAAAGAACTAGGTCTTGCCACCACTGTGCTAGCCTCCTTTTAATGTTGAACTTTAAACACAGTAAGCTGTAAAATAAGCCTAGTTATATCACACTTAAGTAGTTTTAAGAAACACATGTTTTGGCATTGGTCGTAAGTCACCTTTTGTTATAAAAATGAAACATGACATGATATACTCAAACAGTGAATACAGTATGTGGTCTGTCTCCAGTTGCTTAGCAACCAGAGACCACCGTTTATGATTTCTTATGTAACCCTTCAGAAAAATTTTTTATGCATACACATATCAGATTATATGATCATTTTAACTGGTACCTCTTTGGGAAGAGGCAGAGACGTATTTTAATGTCTGGCAGGAACAAATTAGATCATTGTACTAGTATCATCACTTGCTGTTACAAAAGCCAGGAAAATCAGCCTTGATTCTGAATGCTGTCAGGTCTTAAGCTCCATATACAGTAATCCAGGGTGCAGACTATCTTCAGATATAGTTAAGTTGCTCAGCCAGGTATCCTTTTCTAAAAATAACTTTTTCTTATTTTGTTTTCCTTCTAAATCTTCTAAATTCTGTATGGATCATTCAATTGCTCTTYGGAAGTTTGACATTTATGTCTTATATTAATAAGTTATAAGTTTTATCAGTATGCAAGGGTAAGTTTGTAAGAGTGTAGCTGAGGATTTGTCTTTTATTAAACAGTCCCTTTTATTAATTTGATAAACATTATGGATACRAAGTTGGCAGACAGGTTCTTGAACTTGGAGGAAGGTAGCTTTCCCTCTTTCTTGAAACAATTAGGTTAAGGAAAGAGTGCTTATAAAATCAATTCAAATCAAAGTTTTTGGAACTCTCAAAATTAACAGAGACCAGATTAGTTTCCAAGTTCCTTATAAACTTTAGGAATGAATTTCGATTAAACAAAATTCTTCATATGTGAATTTCCTTTTGTGTGTATAAATTAGGAAGATTGACACATAAGGTTATAGCATTTTATTCTGTTTGGTCCTCTGATGAGTGTATTTAACCTGAAATGAATAGCAGTTTTTTTCTTCAGGAAAATCTTTACAAGGTACGCTCTGACTGTGTCAGGGAGTGGCTAGCTCTGGTGACTTCACTGTGGTATTTGTGCACCCTGAGGGGACTCTATTTTAGTTTGTCTCACAAAGGCCTGATTTACATTTTGCAGGTTTCAACTTGAGAAGTTAAAGAGATGTTCTTTAATGACCAGTAGTTGTTGAACAGTTTTATAAAAGTTGCTGCTGGCTATTTTTCCTATCCTATAGTTCACTGCTTTTTCTGCAAATTCCTTTCCCATTCTAAGGCACTCAAAAAAAAAAAAAAAAAAAAGTCACACATTAGAGGAGGAGTCCGAACTATCAGGCATCCCCTTTACCCCATCAGTTTGTCATTAATTGCATTTGTGGAAGGAATAAAATTTGATCAATTCTAAACCCTTTTAGGAAGTTGGTTATGCCTTTTGCTATGCACTCCTTGTTCCCTACATACATTCTCATGTTACTCTGCCTGATACCCCGCAAATGTTTTAAAAATATCTATGAAATACATAGCACTATGCCTGATAGAAAGATGTAGAAGATTGAAGRCCCTGTTTTCAGGAGCTTATTCTCTGCTACATGGAATTTACACACTCAGTTGTAATGTTATTGCAATAATAAACCAAGGGTATCTTTATAATATTTTGAAGTTTATAAAGCCTCTAGTTTATCACTGACTAGATTTTTTATAACTCAGTGAAGGCAAAGATGAGGATCCTGTGGTTGGGATTTGCCAAAAGTCATAGTGGAGGTAGGTCTTGCTCTGTAGTTGAGTACAGTAGCTCCTGCAGCTTGTAGCTTCATCTCTCAAAAGAATGTGTAGTTTATTCCGTGGCAACTTTAAAATAAAAGTTTATGTACACCCTGATTCAGTGACACCAGGCTCCTTTGGTTATCTTCCTTGACATTCCTCAGCCTGTTCCTTTGTACCTATGGTCGTGTTTTCTTATTGCCCCGGTCCCTGAATGAATTAATTTTAATCTCAWGGTTTATGTACTGTTTATAGATTTTCAATTTGTACTTTGTATTTCTAGTTTTTTTTCTCCAGACCTAAAGACTTGTTGTATATGATTAATTGGGGTTTATCCACAGGACATATCGAAACTAAATTCACTCCTTATTGTCTCACCTAACTTGAAGCTGTTKTGGATTTTCTGTATCAGGGAATGCATTACTGTCT